GCTGCCCTGCACCACCCGAAACAGTCCACGGCGGCCAAGGCTCAAGCCTGAGGGTCACACACACATGCCTGCCCCTCCCCGCTGCCGATCGCAGTCAACTCACTGTGACCTGCTGTGTCCCCCACACCCCAAGCTCTTCCCCTCGGCCTGGTGCAGGCTGCTGGATACTGACAGACTGACCTCAGAGAGTGGGGACCAGTGGACGGAAAGCCTGGCCGTGCATGGGGACGAGAAGGCCGGGGGAGGCCACTGAAAACCTCCACTGGCACAGTCTGAGCCAGCAGCGCTGAGGGTCAAAGAGCAACAGACATCCGTGCTTGGCAGAGTTGTGAGCTCGGCATGGACGCAGAACCTCCCTGCCAGGCCCACCCAGGACCCTGCCACTCGGCTCCTCGAGTCCTAGGAAGCCAGCAGGCCTTGGTGATGACAGACACCAACCAGGTCCCTAGAGCCCATCAGGAGCAGACCTGGCCCTGAGTGCCCCCCCCCCATACCGCCCTCTGTGGGCCCGTTCAGCACCGAAGCTGGGCTGTGCCGCACAGCACTGTGTGGGGGGCAGGGACAGGCAGGCCCCTCCAGGCTGGAGTGGACAAGCAGAACTGGCTATCCCAGCTCGGCACCTGGGCCGCAGCAAAGCTGCACCCATGGGAGGGAGCGACGTCACCAGGGAGCACAGAGTAAAAGCCTCAGGCACTGGGAGCCGGGCAGGGGTGGCCCCCCCCACCTCCTGCAAAAGCCCCGAGGCTGAAGAGGGGGCGGGGCTGCTCCCCTGCAGAAGGCGCAGAGTTGAAGCAGGGTCTGCGAGTGGCAGGAACACCCACGCTGTCAGCTCTGTCCTCGGCTCTCACACTGGCCACTCAAAGGTGGGACGTGGGGGCATTTTCTCACCCTTTTCCATCCACAGCTGCTACAAAGTAAAACGTCTTCCAGCCCGAACACAGCAACGTGTACGTCCCGGGCGCCCACACCCAGGTTCCCATTTAACGCGGTCCTGCCTCCTCCCTGCCCCGCCTGCTGACCCCCTTCACCACTCCCATCAGGAAAGAGGGAAGGAAAAGAAAAACTCAGAAACCCGAAGATCGTTTGGAATTTATTCTCTTAAGAATGGTAACACTTGTTCAAAAAAAAAATTAAAAGCACAACATCTTAGTTTCACAGAAACTGCAGAAAACAAAGTTACACAGTTAAATTAAAAACTCACGAAGCAACACACCAAAAACTCAGCATAGGTCAGAAACGAGGGCACAGCGAAGGCCCTGGGGAAGGGCAGGCAGACGTGGGTGGACGCTCCTGGGCTCGGCCGCTCGCCCTCCCTCACTTGCTCACTCGGGCTCTTGGGAGCCGCCTGCTGCCCCCCACCCCCACTGGTTCCTTTACCCTGAGCTGAAGGGCGTGGAGAGGGAGGACCCCTTCCAGGGACACACTGGACACCAAGTGGCAACGAGCAGCCCAGCGGGGCCACAGCTGAGCCTGAGAACACAGTGGGGTGGGAGTGGGGGCTAGGGCTTGCTGTGGAGTCTCCCAGCAGAACCCGGACCTCCCCAGTTTGCTCCCGAACCAAACTTCCTGAGGCTGGGAGTGGGTCCTGCCCAGTGTCTGAGCTTCCAGCCCCGAGTCCCACCTGCATGGGTGTACTGGCCGCTGGCTCCCTCGCAGGTGGAGCAGAGCTGGAGCCGGGGCTGTCTCACCAAGTTCAACTCCTCGGTTTCCAGAACCAAGAAAGAAGGAACCTCAGAAGCAGCTTCGTTATTATTGTTATTGTTATTACCGAACTCATAATACATAGACATCTGCTCACATATATATGTGGAATTAAATCTCTATAAATAGCTACAGGTACAGACGTCAACACCCACACACCCTCGTTAACCAAGACTCCCGGGCCGCGCTGGGGCGCTCGGCGGGGCTGCAGCACCTCTGCTCTACAGGCTCTGCAGAGACGCCCCTCGGGAACCCCAGGGGGGCAGGAAAAACATCCCAATAGGAGCACTGCCAGTTGGGGCGCAAAGCAACGCCTGTGTTTCTAGCGCCCTTTTAGCATTAGGCAAGGGTGCTGGGGGAAGGGAGGGGCACCTGCTGGGCAGTCCTCTCTCTGAGAGGCCCTTTGTAGGTTAAAGCTGCCTTTTCCCTCAGCTGACACGGAGACAAAGGGTTCACCCCGTCCCATCCGTCTGTTGCCCCATTTTTGGTTACCCACCACCTGAGAGGTGACCGGGACTCCTCTGGACAAAGAAAGGGCTCCCTGCGGTTCAGGGCCACACATTCAGGTGGCAAAGAGCCCACCTGGGGTTCCCTTTCTCTGCCGGTTGGTGCCCAGACCTCTCCTGCGGTCAGGGCGAGGTGCATGGGGCAGGAAAGGCACTCTGGGCGAGGGCCGGACACTGGGGAATGAAGGCTCCGAGGACAGAAAGGAGTCTCAGCGATAAGCACACAACAGCAGCACGGTCAACGTCGCCCTCCAGACACCGAGTCGGGAGCGGCTCCAGACGGGACGGCCACAGAGACAACCCTGCACTGCAGGCCCAGAGGCCACTCGGACTTGGGGGCTGGTTGTGCTCTGGGCACCAGTCACGGTTTCGGTGCACGACCACAGAATCCCTGGGAGATGGCAGAGGTGCAGAAGGAAGGGGAAGGGCGGGCGAGGCGCTGCCGCGGTGTGTCCTGCCAGCTGCCGGGACGGGGGCTGGGGGGGCAGGGCCTCGGGGGACGGGGCCTTTGCTCTCAGCACAGCTGAACGCACTCCAGCAGCTCTCCCCTCCCGAGGGCAGCAGGGTGCGTGTGCCCTGGGCCTGGGGTCGTGGCTGCCGTCTACCACACGTGAGGATACCGAAACCCTGAGTTTTTCCGAAGCTTTTCCAAAAGGAAATTCTAGTTAACCAAAGTTTAATTTGGGACACAAAGAAGGAAACCCCTGTCCAAGGAGAAAACAAGTCTCTCCCATGGCAACTATGAAAGACCACCCACGCCTCTGTCCCTTTCTTCAGAGGCTACTGGCAAAGACCGACGCCTCCCGGGACAGAGCTCCTCCCCAGGGCCACACGCAGCCCCACGACCCTGTCTCTGGCACAGACCCCGGGCCTGGCCCTCCAGCCACCGCAGGGCCCCTCCACAGGGAATGGTGCCTGCCGCCCTCACCAGGGGCTCAGGCTCTGGGTCTGGGGCACCACAGCTCGGGCCTCTTGGGCTACAACAGGCAAGTAAGTCACCATCAGAGCACAGAACCTTGGGGACTGATTTTAACTCAGGGCTTTGAGTTTTGGTTTGTTTTGATTCTTCAACCACGTTGCCAACTCTCACCGCCCCCACCAAGATTGGGATGGGGGGGTCACTTTGCCAAGGATGTGACTGTCTAACCCACTCTCATCTCTTCTCCCTGCTCTTAAGGACTCTTCTCTGCAGAACCCTGACACCCACGATGCTTCCCAACGGGACAACAAGAGCAGCAAACTGAACCAGACGGAAGGGAACGAACGCAGTCTGCTTGGGAGAGCCCGAACCCCACTCAGCGAGCCTGCTCCTTTTAAAGACTGTCCTGTACTCTGCACCCAGAAGGAAGGTTCAATCCCTGTGACTGTTTTACAGAGCAGCCAGGCTCCTTGGAAAACCTGTCTCGGCTGGGTCGAGACCTGGTCAGACGCACATCGCAGTGCACGGGACCCTGACCGGGCTCAATCCCTTTGGCTCTTTTCTCTGCCAGCACTTCCCATGTTTGGCAAAGGGCTGTCAGCCCTTCATAGGACAGACAGAGTATAAAGGGCTCAAGGCTACTAAAGGTTCCAGAACCTTCCATGGCCATAAAACGTGGGTACAACCTGCAGGGCACTGAGAAAGCCTCCCTGGCTATAAAAAGGGCCTGTGCAGGGGAGGAAGCCATTTCACTGTGCTCCACCTCCAGTCCCTGAGTTGGGGTCCCCCAGGGTGTACCCCGCCTCTCCCAGATGCACACCAGCTCTCCTGCATAGGAAAGAGGTAGCCCTGGGCCCTTTCATGTGAAGGCTGAGTGGGTAACCTGTGTCTCCCCCCGCCCCTGCCTTCTCCACCACCCTGGCATTGGCTGATCATCTTTAGTTTTTACATAGACTGTGTGAATCTTCACACGGCTGCGTTCCATACGTTTGCTTTGCCCGAGCAGAAACCTGGGCAGACACGTGGCTCTGCTGGCCTCCCCCCTCCCCCCACCCCCTGCCAGCTCTGGGCCGACTCATGGGCAGGTCCCACAGGCTGGCTGGATGTGCAGCAGAGAGAGGCAGTTTTAGGGGGAAAAATGCAGTTCTCCACAGTGAGTGGGGTGCCCGTGAGCCCCCGAGTCCTGCCCTGAGACCAGAGAGACTGCTGTTGGAAGGGAGGGGTGGTGTCCCCACCCGACAGTCAGGATTCTGTCCTCCTGAGGAGGTCACGTGCCCCCAGCAGTCAGGGCAGGGCACGACCTTCAGTGGGCACAGGTCAAAGAGCAGACACGTGTCAGCCCACCGAGATACCTAAATGGAGGGGGGGACGCAAGAGTTCCAAGTTCAGGTGCACCCCAATCCAGACCACGGGTGCGTATCCACCTCTGTGCTCCGCCGGGAGTCCCAGACCAGAACTGCCAGAGGCCCTGCACCTCTGCGCTCACACGGGGTCGGTGCAGAGCAGCTGCTTCCGAAGTCCTGGTGACCGGGACGGAGCCTGCAGAAGCCCCCCTCGCGTGTCTGATGGCTACAGTGACACTGAGGTGTGCAGCAGACTCGGGGTCCCGCTCGCTCACCAGACGGTGCCCCGGCCGGCCCCGGCCTGCCCTCGAAACTCCCCGCGGATCTGCACCAGCACCTCCGACAGGCCATAGAGAAAGGGGACTCCGAACGCGAGCAGCTGGCACATGAAAAAGGAGTCCAGGGGGTTCTGGGCCACCTGAAGCCCAAGCGCAGAGATGTTGCTCTGGAGGTGCTGGCTCACCCCCCTGGCCTTGTCACACAGGCCCAGCGAGTGACTTGCCACCCAGCCAAACAAGGAAGTAAGGCTACCTGGAGTTCTCTCTGCAGAGCCAGCAGCCCCGCTGGCCCGTCCACTTGCATCTGCCACGGGGCCCTCCGGCGGGGGTGCTCGGGCATCCTGGGAAAGGCCACAGGGAGAAGAGTGAGGGGCTGAAGCCGCCCAGCTCGGGAGGCAGGGTGCCCAACAGCCCAGAGCCGTGCTGCTCACACAGTAGGTCCTTCTTCAAAAGCCAGTCCTCAGGCACCTCCCTAGCAGTGGCACCTGGCTCCACCCACCAGACCTCCTCCCACAAGGCCCTCGGCAGAGGACAGGATGGGCCTGCCTGCACTGACCGGCAATGCCCGTGCAGCAGCGGCACCGAGGGAGGAGCTGCTCTCAGTTACAGAAGAGACAGCGATAGACCGTGGCCCCGGTGATACACCCCCTCCCTGAACTGGACCGAGGATACCCTCCAGAGTAATTCCGCACCCACTCAGCAGGCACTGCGGCTGCCCCTCATTAGTCCCAACGCTGAGGCACTTGGGGCCTGCCGCTCCCTCGAGGGCGATGACCCTCACTTACCTTCCCAGGCAGGGGGGTCACCGCTGGCCTCTTCCTCTGCGCGGAGCCGGACAGGCGGTGACAGTAGTGAGGTTTGCAGTAGAATTTACCTGCAGGAGGCAGGGGAAGGGCTGTGAGCACGGCTCCGTTACTCTGAACTTCACTCCTGTCCCTGCGGCCAGAGGAGGCCCCCACCTCTGGGCTCAGGCTTCTTGTTCCGGGAGGCCGGACCCCCCTAAAACTTTGATTGACCTAAAGAGGGGGCTTCCTCTCAATATGTGAAGCCACTGGGCCAAGCCCCAGCCAGTGCCCGATGCCAGGCTGGCACGGTGTGGGGGATGGCGGGGGCGGGTTGGTGGGGGCCCGCACACAAAGTAGCAGTGTGTGCGGAACAAAGGAGGGTCACATGAGAGGGGGGAGCAGCCTTTCTGGGGAAACCAAGAATGAATCTGGGCGCAGGGTGGATGCCAGTTAACCCTGACAGGACCTTCAGCCAGCACGGCTCAGACCACACCACGTGACCTTGCTGCGTCCACAAACAGTGCAGACAAAGCCCACCAACTCCGAGGTGGACTGTAAACAGGGAAGGAAAATAAAACAGAATGGAGAGCATGAGCGTTCACTGCTCCCGGTGTCCAGCCGTGTCTACCTGTGTGCACACGCCCAGGCAGGGGTCTGGGAAGCACCGACCCCGGCTTTTCCTGAGACACTGGGGGTGGGAGCTGGTCACAAAGGGTCGTTGTCCCCGACAGTTTTACGCCCATTGAAACCGGCCCTTGAAACCACAGGCAGAGCCTGCCCACCACAGACATGACACGCTGCTGTGTCGGCCCCGTCACGCTCCACTCAGGGGCAAGGACGCCCTGGACAAGCAAACTGCTCTGCAGGTTGAAATAAGGAAACCTCACCAGAAAAACAATAGGAAAGATCTGTAACACTAGAGCTGTTTTTAAAAATAGAAATCAACAAAACCTTTACTAGGGTAATTCAGAAACAGTGAGAAGACAATAAAATCAGAAATGAAAAAGGATACATTCCAGCTGGTACCACAGGAATTCAAAGGACTGTGAGGACACACCAAAAAGCTGGATGAGCCAAAGGAGGTAAGTCAATTCCTAGAAATATACCGCCTACCGTGACCCTACATCACGAAGAAACAGAAAATCTGAACAGACCCAAACGAAGGAAGAGATTGAATCGGTAACCAAACCCCTCTCCAGGCAGGGGCCCAGGGCCAGACACGGACCCCACTGGGGACCTACAACAGCCCTTCTCAAACTTCCAAAACACTGAGCAGGAGGCACCGCCCGAACTCCGGTTACAAAGCCAGCACCTCCCTGAAACCAAAGCCAGATAAGGACACCACAAGGCAAGAAAACAGCAGACTAATGTCCCTGACGCGCGCTGATGCAAAGCTTCTCACCCAAACAGTAGCAGACGGAATTCCAACCCCGTGCAAAGGGCCACTCAGCACCATAAACTGGGTTTACGTCTGGGACGCAGGCTGAGCGAACCCATGCAAACCCATGAATGTGGAGCCACGTTACCATTACAGAATGAAAAACAGGAATCACACGAGCATCTCAATAGATTCAGAAAGAGCATTTGACAAAGTACAGCATCCTTTCATGAGAAAATGCTCCCCAAATTCAAGGTAGAACAAACACACCTCAACATAATGAAGGCCGTGCGTGAGAGCCCGTGCCAACATCACATTCAGGGGTGAGAGGTCAAAAGGTTCCCTCTGAGATCGGGAGCGAGAGAAGACGCCCACTCTCACCAGTCACTAGACCGAGCACTGGGAGCCCCGGCCAGGGTCCCTGACAGGGACATGAAACGGACACGGGAAAGGAGGCCACCATGTCTTTGTCTGCAGATGATGTGACCGTATGTGGAGCAAATCCCAAAGACGCCACCAGAAATCTTCTAGAAGTAATCAAAGAATTCAGTACCGTTTCAGGATACAACATCAACATACCCCCTCAAAACAGCTGTGTTTCAATAGAACATCTGGAGAAGACAGAAGCAATCCCATTACAGCAGCATCAAAAACAAGAAAATACTTAGGAATAAACCTAACCAGGGGTGAGAAACCTGTCCACCGAAGACAACAAGACGTTGGTAAAAGAAACTGAAGACGATGTTTGGCAGGACGTCTCAGTTCAAGCACAGGAAGAATGAACGTTATGAAAACGTCCACAGCACCCAGTGCAATCTGTGGGTTCAACGCGACCTCTAAGAAAGCACCACGGGCGTTCCCCACGGAACTAGAGGAACAGTCTTCGATGTGTATGAAGCCACAGAAGACCCTGCAGAGTCCGAGCAGCCACCCTGAGAAAGACCAAGGCTGGAGCGACCACCCTCCTGACTCCCAATGGCTTCTTGCGGCTGTCGTGTCAGGAGGGTGGTCACGGCAGGAAGGCAGACACACAGGCCAACGGGCCAGAATCGAGAGCCTGGAACTAAATGCACGTGCACAGCCCACGGATTCTGACAAGTGGCCACGGGGCTCCACAGGGAGAGAAGCCCTCCAGTCAGTGGTGCTGGGAAAGCGGGGAGAGCTTTCGGCCCGTCTCCCACCACTCACAAGCGGGCATCGGCCCGTCTCCCACCACTCACAAGAGTGACCCCAAAGTGGAGGAAGCCCCTAGCATGAGACCTGAGGCTGCCAACTTCCCAGAAGCAAAGGGGACTGACCCCTGGACACTGGCCTGGGAAGTCGTTTTCCGGATGCGACAGCAAAAGCACAGCAAAGAGCAAAAAATAAGCAAGTGGAACTGCGTTCAACGAGAAGCTCCTATGAGCTGAAGAAACCACCAACTGAATGAGAAAAGGTGCGTAAATTACATCTGACAAGGGGTTAATGTCCAAACTATGTAAAGAACTTACACAGATCGACAGCACAAAATCTAACGACCTGATCGAAACGGTTTTCCGAAGACAACAAACAAGTGGCCGGTAGGCAGCTGGTCAGGGAGATGTGACAGAAACCATGAGGTGTCACCTCATGCCCGTCACAATGGCTGTCAACAAGCCCACGTGAGCAAGTGCTGGCGAGGGTGTGGGGAGAAAGGAGCCTTCGTGACTGAGGGCAGGACTGTGAACTGGTGCAGTCACTGTGGCAAACTGTGTGGAGGGTGGACTAAGTTAAGAATAAGACCCCGCAGGATCCAGCAGCTCCACTCCTGGGTGGTTAATCTAAAGACACTGAGGCCGAGACCCTGTAGAGACGTCTGCACCCACGTGACAGCAGCATCCATCCCAACAGCCAGGGGTGGGTGTGCGGGGAGGGAGGGTGGGCACACGCAAGATGAAGTGCAGCTGGTCACCCAGAAGGGAAAGTGCTGTCTGCGGCCGCGTGGTGGCCCTGGAGCGCACTGGGCTCAGTGAAAGTCACACACAGGTAAAGAGAAACACGACGTGATGTCACTTCATGTGTCATCCAGGGAAGCAGAGCAGAGGGCTGGCTGCCAGGCTGAGGGGTGGGGACAAGGTGCAGGGCACAGGATTCCCGTTAGGAGAGCAGCCGGGTAGGGGCCTGCCGCACGGGGGTGTCGCTCACAGCGCCGGGCGCTGCACTGAAGGTCATTGGGAGGGGGGGTCTCAGGACAGAGGGGCCCGCACTAGGGCGGCAACCAGCTGAGTCAGTAACGCACCAGACCAGCACCTTAGCCTCACACGATGTTACGTGTCAACCTGCCCCAGTACAGCAGGGGTTGGGCAGAAAGCGGAGGGAGGGGGTCCCAGATAGAAGTCAAGCTAAATTCTCCATTTCCCCTTCGCCTGGTGATCTGCTTGTATTTCTTCCCTTCAAAGAGACTGATTTCTGTTTTTCTTTTACCTGTACTCCCCTGCAACACTGAATAAATCTTAGAAAAGCAGTTTATGAACTTTCATAATTTTAAGTAATATTCATAGCCGTAGCATTTCCCAGTAGCCCTGGCACTTTAGTCAGAACCCAGAGGCATGGCAGACGGGCCAGGATGGGCCACCTCACCGCTGACGTCCCTGCCGGGGACACAATCTCCCTTCACCATCTGTGATGAACCACTTCACCTTTAACTTGGACTCAGATAAAATGTAACCAGGAAAAACATATGAGTGCTGACGTCACACACTACTTTTCTGTGTTTTATGTGATTCCAACATGGCTCCCGACTGCAGGGCCTGGCCTTGTCCGCCACAGAAGTGGACACATGACCCAGAGGAGTCAGGCAGAACGTCCCTTCCCTGAAGCCCACCCAGGGCGTGGTCTCCAGGAGCTGGCATGTGACTGAGCCAGGCTACTGAGAGCCTTCTGGGGTTCCTATGAGTGGTGCAGGGGGCAGCCTCCCCGAGGCCGCTCCTGGAAGGAAGACCGGAACCCAATGCCCAACTCCAATCTGACTGAATCCTGTTACTTGTAACCAGGAGTCTTGCTTATTATGGTGTCAGATGATCACAATCAGTTACAGTTACTTTCATTCCTTTCTTCCACTCTTTTCCCTGCATTACTTTGCTTTTTCCTACTAAAGTAGAACCCTAGATTTTAAAATACAGCAGAATAGATTAACCTACCAGCAGATTCTCAGTGAGTTACTCACGATATTCTAAATTAATAAGGACAAATGGTTGAGGTTTTAAACGCAAGGCGCACGAGCCTAACCGAAGGCCATCTTCAAAGACATTGCAGAACCTTGCTTCTAACAGGAACCTGACCTTGGAGCGCAGTTTAAACTCTGTCTCCACCTTTCAACAGCTGCGTGAACCACGCGGCTTCTGCTCCTCCATGGGACCCGAGGACCCACTGGCCCCGCATGCCAGGCACAGGTGCCCACTGACAGGTCTCCTCCTCATTCTCGACCTGGTGGGGTGCTTTCTGCTACTCCAAAAAAAGCTCGTTTTATCTGACACTTACCATGTGCCAGACTCTACTATAACTATTTTACACCAACTCATTTAACCCTCAGAGTCCAGCGAGGTCAGTCCTCTCGTCCGCCTTTCACAAAAAGGCTGCACAGCCTGCCCGGTGGCCCCACCAGCCATTGTCGGACGGGATCAGAAGCCTGGCTCTCAGGTGCTCCTGGCAGCCGCTGCGCCCAAGCACCCGCCACACCCACATGACACGCGAACACAGGTTATGGCTGATGCAGTCAAGTCCCTGATTTCACACAGTGTAAACGAAATATGGAATCGTGGTGATTAAATATGCAAGTGGGCAGACGAGGGAGTTGGGAGAAAACAGGCAGCTACAGGGAAACCAGGCCCTGCCTCGTTCACCCAGCGCCATCACATCCCAGACGGCAAGCTAATCACCGAGGACGCGCCCCTCAGGAGCCGGTCTGGCCTCTGCGTGGAGGGAGCAGGTAGCGTGTGAAGCAGGACCAGGTGGTGGTAAGCCCTGCAGGCCAGGTGTGCAGATGCCTCTGAGGATGTGAGTGACAGGACACCCCCGAGAAGATGGGGGGAGTGCGCTCCAGGGGAAGGAGACAGCGAGGTAACCGTGTGTGCAGAACAGACAGGAAACCAGTGCAGGGGCGCAGGTCCCTGGGGGCAGCTCCCAGTGGAGAGGCTGGAGACCCAGGCTGGGCGGCAGATGCGAGGCCCCCCCCCACCAGAAGGCTGGCTGCCGTCTGCACAGCAGCCAACTCGGACTGGGGAGATCTGATTTACATCTCAGCTGCTTTGTGGGAGCAGCCTATGGGGGCAACAGTGGGGCAGGCGGGAGGACCAGCAGTCCGGGCGGAGCTGCAGTGGGGCCTGGATGGGCCTGGCAGGGATGGGTGGGGCCCTGCACTCGCTCCCTCTCAGAGCCACGGGGGAGACTTGAAACACTGTCTGATTTGGAGCTCTCGTCTTTAAACTTGGCAGAGTCAAAACTAAGCTAGTACTTGGCAGAAAAAAGGCAGCTTACTTTCAGTGCGGCCTGCATCCTTCTACCAGGGCTGAGAGGAGGAGCACACAGGGACAAGGGGAAGACATGCGGCTTTTTCCTGGAATGTGCGCTTCTCAGTTCACCACTTGGACCTGACACGGGCCCAGTTACTGCTCCCAGAGCATCTGAACTGAACGGGACCTCAGAGAGTGCAGACGCGGACAAGCACCTTTTCACCTCTGAGTTCAGCTCCCCGACTTGTAAATTACAGTGCCAGAACCAGCCCCCAAGGGAGGTGTAAGGGGGGCAGGACCCTGTATGTGCTGAAGGGCCCGGCACAGTGCCGGGTGGTTTCCTTCATCCTGAGCCTCACCTTCCCCAGCCTTTTCTTTCCTTATCAGAGGCCCTGCAGTTTGAGTTCTGAATCACACAGTGGTTGGAGAACAGGCTCCTAAAATTCCACACTCTTCTCCAGCTCACTGGGCCTGTGTGGAGAGGCTGATGGAGCCATTACAAAGTCCACCCGGGTTAGCCCAGGGGAGCTGGGTTAGCCCACTGTCTCCCTGCCCCAGGTCAAGAGCAGGGCACTCACCCAGCTGGCCAGTGCTCACCCCCACCCTCCACCGCCAAGTGGGCCAGCTCTTCCCTCTGCACTGCTCTGTGTCGAGCCTGAGGTTGGACCAGTCATTCCTAATGGCTCTTGAGCTCCCGAGTGTCCTTCAAGTTGGAACCTACACACCACAGCTCTGCCCCATCTGACGCCCCTGCACGGCTGCAGCTCCAAGACACCTGCCTCATCATCACAGCCAGAGAGCCATCGCACTCTGCGTGTGTCCTTGAGAGTACGCGGTCTAAGGGGAAGCCCCTCTTACCAGGCCAATCGCTTGGGAAGAGGCTGAAGTAACACAGGCATCAAGGACAGTTAGAGAGACATGAAGGGGCTGTTCCTGACAGCCCAGTCCTAGGAGCTCTAAGCTGCTACCCGAAAGGCAGGTGTATGGGACAAGGGAATACAAGTCCAGCCTGGACAGCACCCTCCTCATCCTGATGCCGCCTGGGTCCTGCCCTCACTGGGAGGGGCTGCTCACTGACGGGGCAGGAGGCCCCAGGGTCAGGACGGTGAATCACCTCCCCTCAGTCCACCACTCTGGCTTGTAACGACCTCTCCTGACTGATAGGCCTCTGGCCTGTTAACGCATGACAAGGGCAGTCTGGGTGCCCGAATGGCTATCTCCTAACTGCACATGTCCCTCTGCCGGGCTTGGGTCCCTGTCAGGACTCGATTCACCCAAGCCGCTGTGGCTATGAGCAGAGGCCCCGGCTCAGTCCTGGTGTTCTCAGGAGGACCCTGCCTGAGAGCCCAGGCAGGGGGACTGCTGTCAAGGTGCTGCCACTGAGCTTAGACAACAAGTGGGATCCCCCCTCTCAAAAGTCATGACCAGACTGATCCACAGGGTGCCTCTTGCATCTGTGAGGATGGGAGGTGACTACGTCCAGGCCGCTTTCACCACCAGTCCCTGTGCGACGCAGGGCTGCAGCCCCAGGGCTTCAGGGACTGTTCATCAGCATCGTGGAGGGAACCAAAGGCTGGAGAGACAGGGAGGAGGGGGAGGCTCACCGTCCTCAATGTCGTAGGCGTAGGAGGACAGGCGCAGCGTGGTGGCACAGTACTCGCACTTGAAGCAGCTCCGGTGGAAGAACTTGCCCTCGGCGCTCAGCCGCTCCATCACGTACACCCGCTTCTGGCAGAAGTAGCAGGTGTCGCTGCCTCCCAGGTTCTGCGGGAACTCCTTCTTCATGGAGCCCTGCGCAGGGTGGGGCACACACATCAGGGCGCTGTCTCGGGCCACTTTCAGGGGCGCAGGCCTCACTGGGGCCCTGCTGCGAGGCAGCCCGAGACGCTGCCTTTGCTCCTGGCCTGCCTCAGTGACTGCCCCGTGTCCCCCACCACGCTCAGCACCAGGCGCTGCTGTGTCCGCGTGAAGCAGCGGTGGGAGGAAACCCGAGTCCATTTACAGAGCTGCATTAAAATTAAACCAAACTGCTGTGACAGAACTGTTTGGGAAGGTCACATACAAATGCACAGGACGTGTTCACGTGTTTCTGCATGGACGCGGGTTCCCAGCCTCTAGAGCAGTCACTCTCGGAGAAAGTGAGTGAGCTTCTCCACCAATATTCCAGCTGAGCAACGATTACAGCCCTGGAGATTCAGTCACAGAACTCAGACGGGCTCAAAAATAAGGACCCTTGGCACACACAGGCCCCACGTGTCACTGCGGTTCTCAGATCGAGGCAGGCATGCTTGCCACAGCCGTGTTACATCTAGAGATGGTTCCTCAGTACAGAGCTTACCAGTTCCTTCTTGTCTAGAAGGGTTTTGGGCTGTTCTTTCCTTTGAAGCTGATTGGCTATCTGCTCAGCCAATGAGCTCACTCCACCCGTGTACATCTTTATATACTTCTATTGGTTGGAGGTTACAGAGACCAGAATGAAGGGAATGAGAAGGAAAAACGAGTTAAGATGAAGAACTCTTTAAAGGTGCACAGTGAACACAGGTGCAGCAGCAGACCATGCCCACACGGTGTCCACAAGCAGAGAAGCAACAGGTGTCAGTGTTCACGAGGAGCGACGGTCAGGTGGGTGACTGTGCCCAGGATGGGGGCCCATTGGTCATGTCTGTCTGGGGACAACAGTGCTGTGCATGGGGGGGGCGGGGGGGCAGGCAGATGATGGGCACACACATAGAGCAGAGTGAGATGGGCCTCTGTCCCTGGGGACACAAACCCCACAGAGAACTCGGGGGGTCATGCTGTCCGAACAGTGGTGCCCTGGAGACAGCACGGTTCTGGGGTCATTGCCTCAGTGAGAAAGCTCATTCTTGGGAAGGCAGACTCTCCACGTGACAGATAACCTCCCTCCTCATGGCTGACCCTCCACTTGTAACCACCATCAGGTGCATCGGACATCCCCCGGCTTTATCCGCAAGGCCCTGCCAGCCCACCTGCACCGTGGGTGCCTGTTCTGCCCAGGCCCCAGGGGCAAGCTGCCGGCTGGCCGGGGCAGGCAGTTCAGCTGCAGCCGTAGGGCCCACACTCGCAGCATGCAGACACGCTACTCTGTTAAGTCTTGGGGAGTCAGAAAAGGTTTCTATTCCAGAGGAACTGGTTTTTATAGGTCAAAAAAGAAAAAAATCTAACCAAACCAGTCCTCTTTCTAGCAATGCTGAAGACGCAACAGTAGAAACCAACCAATTCTAACTGAAAACCTTCCTGCTAGGGAGCCCCACTGTGCCCGTGGCCTAGGGAACGAGGCCAGGGTCTTGTCGGCTGTCCCTGGGAGGCTCCACACCCAGAGACGCTTCTGTGTGCAGACGGTCAGGACACCTTCTGTGGGACACCCTGCTGCTGAAGGCATGACGCAGGGCTCCCAGGGGCAGCTGTCTTGGGGAAGCCAGCACTGCAGTTAGGAAGGGTTTGCGTGGACAGACACCAAAGCCACGTGCGAGGGAGCTGCTGAGCGAGGTGTGCCCTGGCTGGCAGGACAAACGGGAAGCCCTGGAGGGGACGCTGACCATGTCAAAGTGGGTCAGCGATGCTCTAAGACTTGGCTGGAGCTGAGGCTGAGGACTCAGGTGCACTTTAGTGGCTGAGAAAAACAAGCTGCCTTCCCACTGCAGCTTCCTTTGCTCAGGGTCCCTGGGAGACCTGAGGCCAGGAGCTGACCAGTAACCGGTAGAGGGGATCTGACAAGAGGGAGTGGGAACCGCGCTCCTCTGATCTGTGCAGGTGACTGAGGCCTGGCTTGGGTGTCAGGGGCAAGGCTGGGATGCAGAGCGAGCCCTGGGACCACGCTGTTGCACATGCCCCCCAGCTCCCTGCCCAACAGTGCACTGTCAGGACAGCCCTTTGTCACACCCTGGTCTCAGGGACGGGATGATGTTGACAAGCATCCCCCAAAGAGAGGCTCTGTTTGTCCCGGGCGTACAGAGCAGGTGGTCTTCTGCTCTGAGAAACAGTCACAGTGCAGCCAAGGCCAGAGTTGTCCTGCTGGTGCCTGCCACCTGTGCACCTGCTTCCACACGCCCCGTCTGCAGCCAACGTGGGCTTGAGGACAGGAAGCAGGACGGAAGGCAGCGACCCTCTGTCCTCTGTCCATGACCGTGAGGCTGCCTCAGGCCTGGAGCCCTCAGTGACAGCGGCTCAGCAGACGCCCAGTGCTCGGCATGTTCAGGCCTCTTAAGAGATGCACTAAGCTGGGGCTCCTGCTCTCTAACACGTGTTAATGTAAAGACATCTGGAATTAAAAACCTAACAACTGAGAAGCGTTTACCGTTCCTGACACAGCTGAAATGCACTGACGACAGGTTTACGCCCACAGAACCTGATGCGGCAGGAGCTGGCAGCCTCTCCAACACAGGCACATGCTCACAAATGGCACATGTAAAACAGGCTGATGTGCACACGCGCACACGCACACACACACGGGCCCCTACAGGAGGCGTGGGCAGAGGCCGCGGGCACACAGAGCCCCGCCCGGCTCTGCTACCTGTCGCAGGGAATCGGAGGAGGGGGAGGCGGGGCGGCCGGAGGAACGGAGGCTAAGAGAAAGCTCCCACTGGTCGACAAAAGATCGACGGGAAGGTTCAGACTCTGGCTATAAGACAAAGATGGAGAAAAGCATCAGGGGAAACGTAAAGTCACACACGGACCCGGCCCTGCACGGCCCGCACTTCCAGGGCCTCTTCCACCGCAGACGTGGCCCAAGAAGCTGCGTGGAAAAGGAAGGCTCTCGGCGGCCTCAGCAGCATGCGTGGTGTCCCCGACCCCGTCCCCCGGACTCAGGCTCTGCAGAACCTCTCACCCCCCGAGCGGGGTTCTCCGGGCAGGACACGCAAGTCTAGGGGAAAGCTTGCTCCCGCCACATGAAGGCCAGCAGTGTGGCTCTTCCTCCTCGTACCGCCAGTGCTCTGCCCACAAGGAGCCTGCCAGACCCCAGCGGTCACCATGAGAAGGGACATGAGGCTCCTGGTCCCCTGTAGACTGCAGGCAGCCCGTGGGCAGCATGGGCAGGGTCTCTGCAGGGACAGACCCGTGCAGTCCCCGGACACAGGGAAGGTGGCACAGGTTCTGGCAAATGAGAAATGCTGAGTTTCCCAGTGGCCCGCACTGACGTCACAGCACAGAGGGACGACAGTGTGAGCGTTACCAGCCTGTGCTCCCCATGACCGGCTGAGGGGGCGCTGGGGGGCGTGGCCACAGAGCAGTGCGACCCAGCAGGAGGGAGAGCAGACTGAACTTCCAGTGGGGGGCTGCGCAGTGAATGCTGCTGAGGTGTGGGTGGCAGTGGGGCGGGGGGGGGGGCAGCAGTGTGTGTGCAGCACTGTCAGGGGAAGTGCTGCAAGGACACGGCACAGTGACCCTGAGAAGCCCCTGCACTGCAGCGTCTGGAAACCACCCCTGTGGGGAAGCGGAAGGAGGCTCCCTGCTGCCGCCCTCCCTCCTGCACTTGGCGGCCCCGGACCCCAAACATCCCTCCCCACTGGCGTCTCCTTGGATTCCACCTGCTTCCCTTGCTCTTCGTCTTGGTAAAAACCATCAAATCCTCATTAAATACGTGTTCCACAGCACACAGGGCGAGGCCCCACTCTGAAAATGCAGAGGCCGGGCACACACGTGTGGAAGCCATGCTCTGGGTGGCCCAACTACGTGCCTGGCTCATCACAGGCACAGGGACCCGGCCTGTGACCAGCTTCCCAATGGACCCAAGAAGCCACCGACTGACTATGGAGTCAGGGCCAGGCTTCTCAGAGAGCCAAGGCGGGAGGGGCAGGGAAGGCAGCTGCAAGCTCATGTGACGTTAGCACCAGCACAGCCCCCTGTCCCACCTGCCAGGCCACCTTTACGGGTGACAGCAACCACGGGGAGGGCACCTCTGCTTCCCATCAAGTCACCCAACGGCCCGATGTCACCGCCATTCTCCCCGAGGGTGGTGGGAGCCTCCCTCCCCTTTGTCCTCCTTACACTCAGGAAGTCCCTGTCACTGAGCACTTCCACCTCAAGCCCCACCACTGTCCTCGGAGCTGAACGAAGGCCACCTGCTGGTTGCTCCTGCCCTGTGCCCTGAGAAGCCACACACGTGCTGGGGTGGGAACAGGGTCGGAGGCAGCAACGGGGTGCCACGGGCCCCCAGCCACAGGACCTGCCTGATCGGAGTGCCATGACGGGCACTCTGCTGTGCATGCTGCTGGCACCAGTCACCACTGTCAGCAAAAGGGCGCTGGCTCTCAGCTGGGTGACAGGAGCGTGCAAAAAGCAAGGGGAGGGGGACCATCCCTTTCCCGCCACGTGCCCATCTGTGCGGCCTCAGCAACCCTGGCCACGGGCTGCTCATGCGTTTACCCGCTCATGGTGGGGACGCTGCTTGCCACGGTGGCCGGCATCACGGTCCCTGTGTGTCTGTTGGCAACAAAGGAGACATTTAAGCTCCATCTAAAAGCTCTATTTGGACTTAAGTGACAAAGCTGTAAAGTCAGAATCATGTCAACACAGACCCCTGCCCCCAACCGAGCCCCACCCCAAGAAAACCCAATCCCACCGACACCAGAGCTGGTGACCACGCTGAGCACAGCTGTGCTGCTCACCCGGCCCCCGTGAGGTCAGCAGCATGATAAGCAGGGACTTATTGGGGCATAAGGCCAGCAGCGCCAAACGGAAGGTCAGAGGAGAGAGGGAGGTTGGGAGGGGGGCTCTCCAGAGAGCTGAAAGGTGGGTGACACACACTGTCCCGAGGGGACAGGGGGTGCAGTGGTCCCTGCACAGGAGCATGGGAAAAAGCAGCATTTATGAAAGGGGGACAAGAGGAGGCAAGGGGGGCAAAGCCCGGAAGTGGTGCCAGTGGACGGGACACCTGCCTGGCTGGGTGGGAACCCGGCTGACAGGGTCGGCTGCCTGTGCTGCCCCAAGAAGACACAGGTGAGGGCCACGGGGATGTGGTGCCTCGGGCCCCTTTAGGGCCTGGAAGCTTCCACTGCAGCTGCTTTGGTCCAGGCAGGACAAGGCCAGGGCTGGGCTCCTAGCTCATCCCCGCCCTACGCTTCAGGCTCCTCCTCTGCGAAGCGGGGACAGCGCTCAGGCCCTGTTCCTGTGCACCGGCTCTTACGCAGAGATGGGCACGGGGGCGACAGTGGCCAGGCACTGGCTGGGCCTTTACAGCCCCGACCCTGGACAGAGGAGTTGCCTGCCCAGGTGCTGCCTCCACAGCTGGCATTTTACTTTATGGGAAAACACCACAAAGGTCAGCTTCGCAAAAGAGTGCTCACCACCGTGCCTGCCTGCTGCGCCCCACCACAGTGCAGTTTCCCAGGGTCTGCCTGGGCTCGGGGGAGGGCCGGTGTCTGGGCAGGAGAGGGCTGAGCAGGGGCCCGGCTGTCAGAACTGGAAGGAAGCAGGTCTGCCGTGCAGCCCCACTGGAAACTCCCAAAGCTCATCTCAGCTCCATCACGTGGGCAGCACGGCAAAAACGACAGCTTGACGTGGCGTCATAGGAGCACGTGCCTCTCCCCAGGGCTCGGGCCTCATCTCTGTGACACAGAACCTCAGCCCGTGCGTGCAGAGCTGGACGCCCAGGACGCAGAACGGAGTGCAACCGCGTGGGTGGGAATGTGAGCAGCACCCCCCCCCTGAGGTCCGGCAGAAGCGTGACTGTGTGTGGCCACAAAGGCTGCTCCAGTCACCAGCAGTCTTTCTGCTCCGTGACAGTTATCCCTGAAGAGAGGGGTCCTGGTGTGGGCTCTGCCCCAGCCACCCACAGACAGGCAGGACGGCACAGACAGACAATGGAGCATGCACACAAGGTCACCTGCTGGCCTCCACAAGCCCGGCAGGGAGGTGGAGTGGGGGGTGGAGAGAGTGTGATCACTTTTTTGGGACAGGTCCGCGAACGTTCCTTCCCCTGCCGCTTTTGCACGACGGACACAAACAGAGAAAAAGACTGTGAAACTGTGGCCACATTCCAGCTGGGTCCAGAAGGACCAAAGGGCCCCTGCCCTGCGCCCTCATCCCCTCACCCAGCACCGCGTGGCTAGGGCGGCCGTGTGGAATAGCCCATGGTGGGTGTCCGGGTCCATCTCGAGGTACAGCCCCTTCTAAACACCAGGGGCCAAGGGCATGTCCTTCTCAGTGGGCTCTATCCGGGAGGTGGGGGGATGGAAGAACTGAGCTTGGTTATAAGCAGAGAAGAAGGGCACCCGGGCCACTCCCAGCAGCAGCCGAGCAGCCTGTGCTCAGGGCCGACTGCGGGACCTGCTGCCACCACTCCCTCTCCTCAGGCCCCGAACTCACCTTCAGAAGGCTCTGGAAAGTAACCAGGGAGACAAGGAAGTACAGGAACTGGGATGTAAAAACTGAGTACCTTTCGCCCCCTGAAACCACACCCGTGCCCACGGACACCTCCCTGCACCCGTTCCTGGAGACTCCGTCCAGGACGAGAGCCCCATGGGACTCAGGAAACCACCACCGAATACAGCGGCACCAGTGGGGCCTGAGAGGAGGACTGTGTGCGTGGGGGGCTGGGCAGCAGCCCCCCCCATCTGCTTCCTCCTCCCAAGACGACCTCCTCCCCCACTGATGCTGGACAGGCGCTGCTCCCTCCAGGACATGCCGTTGAGATGCAGGAGGGCTGAGCAGGAAAGTCCCTGGCAAGCAGCACCCTCGGGAACCCTCCATGTTAGAACCGGTCCTGGCCCCCTGCCTATACCCCACTACCTCCTCCTGTGCCCCAGTGAGTCAGGACCACATGCTGCCAGGCAGCCCCACTCTTGAGGGGGGTGGCAGCCCAGGTGGGTCAGTGCAGAGGGCCCAGCACCGCCCCCACCCTCTGTCCCCAGGTTTGCAATGTTCCCCAGAGGTCTATCTTCTAGGAGGGAAATCTACCAGCAACTTGCAAGGCCTGAACCCTCCCTGCTTGGTGTTGGGAAAAACTACCAGGGAACACCCTACATCTTCCTTCAGAGCTGAGCACAGGCAAGCCCCTCGGGATGCACTTCCTACCCGAGATGTCCCCGCACACTCACCCACGGGGGCCCAGGCACATGCCCCAGGGCCCCCTGCTCACCTGTCCATGCGGGTGACAGCTGCCTCCTTTGCTCACTGCCCAAGTCCCATGAGGGTCTAGAGGTCAGGCCCAGCCAAGAGGCCACACTGCCCTTCGGCAGTCCCTCTACCAGAGACCACCTTCCAATCCTGCCTCCCACCGAGACTGAGGAGTCTCCCATGTGGCCCCCCCAGAAGGCCCCCCCAGGCAGAGGGATAGGGTCGCTTGGCTCCCTGAGTCTGGACATTTTCCCCAAACTTCCACTTCAGCCTCCGACGTGGCCTCATGTGAAAATACGGGTGAGAAACACAAGTTATCTTCACTTTGCCTTGAACACATTCCCCATGAACCCTGCCGGCCACTGCTCGGTGCTGCCGTAGCAGCTGGTACTGAAACACCAGGGGGCGGCAGGCCCAGCCCACGAGGTCTCGGCACCTCAGCCCTAAATGGAACCAGGCCGACGCAGAGTGGGCACAGTGGGGCCCCGTCCCTCCTCCCTGTCCTGCCGCTCATGGGAGGCGGCTGCCATGAGATGCCACAACCCCACTATGGAAAAATTTCTAAAAAGGGCACTTTAAATGTAGACAAACCCCAAGAAGAGGCCCATAATCCTCTGTCCAAGGTCTGAAGCAAATCAAACTCATAGTTCAAGACGATTTCTTGGATGTTTTCCTGTCTGCCATGAAAGGCTGCCCCACCCCCCACCCAGCTCTCCAGCTCCTCCCTCCAGAGGTCACAGGGACACGTCAGCCCCCAGTCAGCTTGGGACGAAGTTACAATGGCAACACCCCGAAGACCAGGGCACCTACACAGCCGACCAGCCTCAGCTGGTTCCAGTGTCCAAGTCACAACCCCCTGCCGACGGGTTTCTCAGCCCCAAGGAGTGGAAGGAGCCGTGCAATGCGGTCTGTGCCACCGTCACCCCACCCACAGTTGTCACCGAGATGAGCGTGGATGTGTCCTGGGCTTGGCTGGGTTCAAGGAAGGCCCTGCACAGGCCGGCGCAGGAGGAGCAGGGTGGGCAGCCCTTGGGCAGCGCCCACTCTGGTCCCAGACAGGTCCTTTACCTGTTTCCACTGTGGGGTGGGAGCAGGGCGGCCCTGCCCAGGTCGGCCGCAGGACAGCTGGCCGGCCCCACGCTCTTGTGTCGGCTGTGACACACAGGCCAGGTGGGGGGGACAGGACATGCAGACAAAGCAAAATGAAAGGTATTAACGTAGGAGACACAGGAAGGACGTGGGAGGAGACACCCCCCGCCCCCGTACTGGGGGCGGGGGTGGAGACACAGAATCAATTCTCGCAGAGGTCCACTTAACAAAGGACACAAAGCCCAGCTCCTGAAGGACAGAGGCTGTGGTCCTCCCCCTGAGCTCAACCATTCGCTCTGGTTTGGACACTAATCTTTCACTGAAAATGAGCCAAGCCTACGGGTGAGCCATCCCTGGAGCCCAGCGCCCCCCACCCCCAGCCCACAGGGCCACCGCTGATGCAGAGCTGAGGGCTGAGGATGACGCAAGAGGAGCGAAAGGGGGCAGGTCCCTGGGGGTGAACCTCCAGGCCCCAGCCCCACCCCATCCCAGTGGCTTTCAGACCAGGGAGAGCAGAAACAAGGCCCCCGCACAGATACCCTTCGAGGCTCCGCCCGGCTTTCCCAGGTGGGACCCAGGACACCAGTGTCCACAAGGAACTGCACAAGGTTCCTTGTCTCAACCTGGTTCAGGGTGCCCAGGAGAGCTGCCCGAGGCACGCAGAGCCACTTCCTAACCAGGACATCTGTCGCCGCTGTACCGTGTCCAGAGGATGAGGACCAGTGTGCAGGCTCCAGAGGAGGAGCCGGCAGGCTGGGCACACAGCACAGGTACCGCCAAAGTCCTTAGAGAAGCAGCCCAGAATGTCCACGTGAGGACGGCCTGGCTGTGAGGACCGGTGTGCACCGAGGACAGACCAGAGCAAAGGGAAACTGAGCAGGGACACTGGGCAGGGACGGGACTTGTACAAACTCCTTTTACAACACGAATGTGAACACAGAAGCATACATTTAAAATCCCTCCGCTGACTGCTACCCGATGCCTCAGACCGAGGGGGAGCACGAGGCCTCATCGGCCTGGACAGGGACAAGCAGAGACCAGGCTCAGCCACGAGGTCCCATCTCCTCCGACCGAGAAGAGCCCCCTTCCGGCGGGGATGGCCAGGTGGGAGAAGGGCTCACCTGTCTCCTCAGGCCGCTGGACTGGGCGGGTGCGTTCTCTTCGAACTTGGCCAGCAGCTGGGTTGCCATGTACTTGACTTTGTTCTGGTTGCCGAGGGCAACATCGGTTCTCCGGTCAGTCAGAGCGCTCCCCAGAGCCGGCCGCCCTCCTCTGCAGCCCCGGGGCACTTCCTCCTGATCAACAGCGACACCAAAGGGCCTCCTTGAGAGGAGTCCCACACGCCCCTCCCTGGAAGGAGCACGTGGGGAGTGTGTGTCCAAGCTCTAGTCCCAGACAGAGTGGGAGAGGGTCCCCGACTTCTGCTGGCGTTGTCACCACCCGGACAGCGGGCTTGTGTGTGTCACTAAAACATTGGACAGAGGCAAAGCACTTGCCCACAAGCGGCCTGATAAAGGGGGACATGGAAAGGTCTAGCAACACCGGTTTGAAAACTAAGGATTTAAGATGAAAAGGGAGATTCGATGTAATTGTTCCAACAAATGCCCATGACTCTCACCTCTTCGGACTGACTGGTCTTCCTCCTTTTCCCAGCACCGTCCAAGTCCTTCTCCTTCTTATCCTGCAGCAAGAAGGAACCAGACTGCATTGTTCTCAACACCACACCTCGCCACTGGGATCCCGGCTGATCAAAGCTGCTTCCACTCACCTTGGGGGACCGCTTCCGGGAGATGGTCTGGCCGAGCTTGCTCAGGAAGGAGATGGGGGACTTGGTGCTGGCTACCAGCACGGCCTTCTCCTCAGCGTTCAGGGCCGTCGCATCTGTGGGTAGAGGACAGTGGTCAAGGATAGGGGCCCCGAAGGACCGACCAGGCTGCCCCGGGGCCTCTCGGGACCCCCAGGGGCTCTGGAGGGTCAGCAGGAAATCACACAGAGAAAAGGCACTCAGGTCTAGACACCGAGTCTCTTTCTCCATCAGCACAAACAACAGCCACTCCTTCCCCTCCGCCTGCATCACAGAAACTTTTACAGGAGTTGGAAGTTGGCTGTGACTGGTCGCTGCACCAGAGCCTCACCTCTGTGACAAAAGCCTCAAGGCAGAGAGGGGGATGCAGGGCCACGGGGTCTGGGGCGCCAAGCCCACATACCCACTGCACACTGAGGGGCTCCCTAACCAGTGGGCTGATGTCCGAGGCTTGGATTTCTGCTGTAAAAACTGCATCTTGTCAGAAGAAGCCAGACATCTATGAGGCCACATGACCTGGAAAACCCTGGAGCATCACCAGCTACAGATTCCAACGTCTTATTAGTGACAATAATATTTTTAAAATACTTAAACCTAATGATACAGCAAACATTTATTAAGTGCTTCCATTTGAGAAGCATTCTTCTTAGCATATCACAATCTAATTAGAGAAAAACTGTTTTACAGATGGGGAAACCGAGGCACAAGAAAATGGAGTAACTGGCCTGAAGTTGGACAGGTGTTAGGACTGGGGTGCAAACCCAGTCTGGGGACCGTGGGCGACAGACACTCTTAAGCACCATGCTCTGCTCACTCCAGAGACAACGGATGGTGACAGAAACTCTCAGGGCAGCAGGTGGACAGACGGGCCTCACGCTGGAGATGCTTGGAAAGTGGGAAAATGGAAGGGAAGCCAGAGGAGGAACAGTGACAGAAAGAAGAGGCAGGGCCCCAGATGCTGCGGATGAGAGTCCAGGAAGGGAGGTTGGCTTCCCACGGTGCGGACTGGCACAGCCAGCAATGCTCAGCGGGACACAGGAGGAGAGGTGCCTGTGGACGGGTGGGGCGGGTGACGGCAGACATCTGTCTGGCAGAGCAGTGAGGGTGCCGGGGTGACAGAGGGCGGGCAGGAGAGGAACAGCCCCCAAGCGTAAACCTCTAGTTTCAGAAAGGCTGGTTCTGAGAGAAAGGGAGAAGGCGGTGGGTCCTGAAGCCCTCCGGCCGGGGGGGCTGTTAGTGTTCACAGCCTTGGCACAAGAGGCCTGGGCGGCCTGCTGCTGGGGGCACTGACGAGGCCACGAGGCCCCCACCCCCATCTGAGCCCTGGGTCCTCACCACGGGAGGACAGCGAGTCCCGGAACATCTCGTAGAACTGGGTCAGGTACATGACCATGGACAGCTGGTCGGGCTCGCCCACTGAGGCCATCTCCTTGCCCGTCATGATGGGGCAGATGCCCAGCTCCTTCTCAGCAATGTCGAAGGCCAGCTGGTTGTTCTTCTCCACATTTTGCTCTTCCAGAGAATCAAAGTCTCTGAGAAACGGGGTAAGAAAAACATGTCAAGACTGGGAGCTTGTCCCCTCACCAAAAACACAGTATCAGGAAGTGACCACCATTTTTCAGTGGCTCAGCTAAAACCCTGTGGGTAGGGCTTCCCTGAAATCTGAGGGCAAATCAGGCTTGAGAAGAAAAATGAAGGAATCTATCCATGAAGGAAAAAAGAGGAGGAGAGGGAAGCTGAAAAACTACCATCATTTTCTTTCTTCTTTTTTTGGTGTCTTTTCTTAAAAAAATCAGAGTATTTTATTATTTTTAGAAGTTTAGATTGTTATCTTTCATTTTCCCAATTACATAAATGTCTTGCTAAAAAACAGGCTTAAGAACAGGGCCCTTCAATATGTGTTTTCTCGCGTCTCGTGTGTGCCCTGCACTGACTAACCTGATGCCCCCGTGAAGACAAAACCCCCCTTGGACCGGACTGCTTCTGCAGGCCTGGCGGCGTCTCCCTGGGGCCCCAAATCCGCTCTGCTGAACCCTACTCAGCCTCCTCCTCGATGGGGAATTCCAAAACTTTCCTCAAAAGATTTCTCCATCGCTAAATTTCTTGAATTTCCCCAAGTACTTAGAACAACAAGTGTTTCCCACTGGATTTTGAGACCACTGCTCTTCATCCGAGGAAGACGGAGAGTCTCCTTCAGCAACTTAGTGAAGGGGACAGGCCTCACACAGCCCACTCGCTGACCCACAGCAGGTTTTCAAGTTCAAAAACCCCTTTTCCCTGTGGATTGAGCCTGCTGACGGGCACGCTCACCCCGAGTGGGGTCCCTGGGGTCTGAATCAGGCCAGTGCCCGCCTCCCGGCGCTGCCCTCTATGGGAGCACCCAGCCCAGGCCTCCCGTCGACAGCCGGCTGTCCGTCACCCCAACAGGAGCAGGTCCCGCCCCACGCGCTGGGCCCCTCCAGTCCCTGCCACCTCATCCCTCTTTCCTGCCGTCCCCTCGAAGGGCTTTGCTTCGTTTACCTGGCTGTCCCTTCAAGCATTCCTGTACCGTCAGGTGTCAGACTTTTCCACACCCACCCTGTCCCGCTCTTGGAGGAGCGAGCCCTGCGGCACCTCTGCATGAGCTACGGCGCAGGAATGAAGGGCCACTCCCCTCTTTCTGCACCAGCCAGAAACCTGGCTCCCACGCTGCCCGCCCCCCCGCAAGGCTGCCCTGCAGCTCCTGCCGTGTGCACTTGCAGCCCAACACAGACAGGGACTGTGGCCTTTCAGGTTTCTTAAGCGAACATTAAAACAAAACAAACAAAAAAACTGGGCCCCAGGTGGACCTAATGATAAAAGAACAGGCAGCCAAAATAACTCTCCACACTCTGCTTCTGTTCCAAACACGCCTGTCTGGCACCCAGGGCGAACGCCCTCGAGGAACCTGCCGAGCGCAAGCCTCCGACTGGTCACGGAGGCCCCCAGGAGAGCAGCCACTGGTGGTGACCATGGTGACCCAAGGGTTGCAGGGCTGAGCATCTGCAGGTATGTGGGCCGCGGTGGGAGAGAACACCGCCAGGCGTGGGGACCACACTCACCATGAGCCAGCTCCACACCCCGCCGGCTCTCCTCACTTACAATCAGTAGCGGTGGAGAGACAGGCGGCGGAAGCAGAGCTCAGCCTGCGGTCACTAGACAGAGGTTCCCTCTGTGTGAAGTTAATACTCCCAGGTGGGTGTTAAAATCAGTTTTTGACCATCTGAGTGCTGTGATTTTAAAAACCCAGAGAATCATTTCCATACTGAGTTACACAGTGCTTGACATTCAGAGTTTTAAATAGAATCAAATCAAAATTAATCGCTGCTTTCTAGAGAAAGTCTTACTTTGGACTCCACTCTAGGAAAAAAAGTACAAGTTGGGTGACTTGATAGGAGGGTGCTCCAAGACCCTGGGGACACAGAATGAAACAGGAAGTCTGGCCACAACTCACATGAGATCGGGGCGGTACCGATGGAGAAGGGCACACAGGGCCAGGCCACTCTTCCAAGACACGGTGAGATCCGTCACGCTGACCCCTGCGTAGCCCTCTGTCTGCCTTTGGCACCAGCTCAGCAGTTTGTTTGAACGCGGTACAGACTCTAAAAGAACAAAAAAAAAACCACTGGTAGAAGCGTGGCCACCTGGCAGCACCAGTGTGAACCTCTCCGCAGCACGTGCGACCGGTCTGCAAAGTCACTGACGGCAGGAACAACACGTCATCGGGCACCAAGACCAGCAAGCCTGGGGACCAGCATGCGAGGCAGGTGTCTGTCACCCTACTTCACCTACCTGGCACCAGGGCTCAGAGCCACTGGTCGCCTGCTCGAGACCACTCCTTCCACACATGGCAAAGCTTGGGCTGGGGCCCAGAGGTGCCCCCCATGGCCCGCCCTTCTCATCACGCTCCATGGTCCCGCCTCGTTCCCCTTCCACATCAGTGCTGGGGGAGGCCTTGTGGCCATCAGCGTGGCTCCGGGAGGGGTGCTTGCCTCCTCCGGCCCATCCTGCTTGTACAGCGTCCGCGCATCCCTCTCCTTTAAAGTTTCAGGGGCCCTCCCTACACACAAAGCTTGCAGCAGCCTTCTCCCCATCCCTGTGTGCTGGCAACGTGGCCACACACAGCGAACGCACTCCCCTGGTCCTCAGCTGGCACGTAGGCCCACACACCCTCCTCCTCCTCAGAAGTACCCGTCTGGTTTCTGGTTGGAGCCTCCCAATACCTTCTTAGACCAAGGTCCCCCATCTTGCTGTGGCTGACGTGCTGGCTGGGAGCTGACGTGTGCACCGGTACAACCATGAGCCACATCCCTGAAAGCCAGCTGCACCTCCCCTCCCCAGTCAGGACAACGAAAAAAGCCTCCAGAAACTTCCAGAAGTGCCCTGAGGGGCAGAACCAGGGCCATACACACCCCCATGCATGGGAGCTGACCACGCAATCACAGACGGCTCCAGATAGTCCTTGCCCTGCAGAGGCCGGGGCTGGAACTCACCGTGGCGAGCCAGCTTGGGGGTGGCCCTGGGCTGCGCCAGGCCCTCCAGCTCCAGGTGGATGTCTCTTGCTTCCCCAGAGTCATACAAATGGCGCACCTGGCAGAAAGGTAAAATGCTGTGAGGAAGGAGGTCAAGTGTCAGGAACAAATCCCCCCCAGGGCACAGAACGGCAGATGGAGGCTGGGAGAGCAGGTGGGGCAAAGTGAACCCAAAGGGAACCCTCTGAACCCTTTCCGGGACCTGCAGGGCCACAGGCAACACACACTCGTCAGGAAGCTGCACCACAGACCCGCTGCCTGGCCACCGGTCCCTCTGGCGGTCCCTGCCGGGCCCCTGCTGCCGCTTAGCTCAGTCTTCCGTTCACGGCAGACACAGTCAAGCTCGGCGCATTTTTGCAGGAGAACATTCCCAAGCACCACTGGGCCCGACCCGGCAGATCAGCCTCATGCTGGGACCCTTTCTCTGTGGTGATCACGCTGAGACTTCTGTCCCCAGGGACCAGTCTTCCTGCTTCTGAACTCTGTGTACGAAGTCACACAGCACCCACTCGGGTGTGGGTGCCTTTGTGCTCCATCGGGGCCTCCGAGGCGCATCCACTTTGCATGAAGTGGCGGCTCAGCCTTGGCACAGCTGCACGCACGCACACACGCATGCAGCCGTGGGGCAGGCCGCAGGGCTTTCTTCACGGTCTTGGGGGGACGCGAGTGACAAAGGAAGCTTCCTGAATGGTGTGTCTTTGGTGCCCACATGTGGTCATTTGGTCAGTGGCTGGACCCCGTGCACCTTCCACAGCAGGTTCCACCTTGTGACTCGACACCCACAGACACAGGCCTGACAGTGACGACTTCAGGTAGAAAGTGAATAAAAAACTCCACGAGAGCACAGGCAGATGTGCTGAATGGCTGCTTTCCAAAACCTGGTGGGCTCTTCGGGATGGCTATACTCTACAAAATGTCACCCTTAACGGAGCCGTGAGGCTGTGACGTTCTGAGAAGTAACTCAGTACAGAAAAGTGGCCGGCAATCTTTTACTGGTGGAGAGTGGCTGATCTCCACGTTCTCCCCTGTGGACAGTCTCTGTTGCCCCCCAGTGACCCTCTCTGCCAGCAGCAGGGACTGTCCCCTTGTTTTACAGAGGAAGACACCAAGGGTCAGAGAACAAGAAATGACCTGCCTGAGTGACAGAGCCTGGCAGTAAATGTGCTAGTGAAGTCGTGTGCGCTGACCGGTGAGTGACCGGTGTCCTCCCAAACACATGATCTGTGTTTAGAGGCATGGGCCCAGGTCCTGGGTCACAGCCTCTGTCACATGTGGCCTCCCGGCAGGTCGTCCAACCACCCTGGGCCTGAGCCCCTCAGTCTGCCGATGGGATCGGCCCTCCCCTCCCACCAACTCAGATGCAAGGCTGCCTGTGTGCACGCCAGAGGAGCATGTCACCAGGCCCGCAGAGGGACCGTGGGCAGAGAGGCGCTCACCTGGCTCGGCTGCAGGAAGTTGACGTTGATGTTGGGGTACCTGGTGACGGGGTCGATGCTGTACTGGCTGAAGTTCTTGCTCACGTTCTCAGGGGTGGTCTGAGGCAGCAGGCGGTAGATGCTCTCCCTGCAACGACACGGCACCCGCTCAGATGCGGCCCGTGCCATGATGTCGCCCTCTCCTGGGAGGCCACTTCTGCATGTTGACGGTCCCCAAATGATTGGGGGGACGAGACAAATCCTCCTCCCTGACCGGCCTCCTCTAGCCCAGCCTCGACTCTTGCTTCCCAGTGCCACCAGGTCAGCGACCCCAGGGGCCCGGCAGAGCCAACGAGAACCGAGGGAGCCCTGCTGGAGGCAGAGACCCTGCCTGGTCCCGGCACGAAAGTCACGGCCGTTCGCCGTTTTGTTGTTTCAAGTACGTCAGCATTTAACGTTTCAGAGAAGCACTGATGAAAAAAGAACATGCCACCGAGCCACCCCCAGTGCCCCAAGTGAGTGACTTCGACGCTGCCCCCCACCCATCTCACACGGCAAATCCCAACTCTCCGGTTTCTCCAGGTAGGGCTTCACTCGTTACCACCCCGCCCGAGACGCTCGCCTCACCTGCAGTCATCTGCTTCCAAACACCTGCACTTTTGAAAATTTGAGAAACGCAGACGAGCAGTTTGGTATTTTCCTTTGACTTCAAAGTCACTTTTAATTTCTTCTCTTACTTTCCTGGCTCCCGTACTACCCCACTGACTTCATTACTTTAAGTCTCCAGTTTAGGGATGCGAGGACTTACTATTCTTACGTATCTGTTCACGTGACTGTCGCAAAGGACACAGGGGCCACCCTTTGATGGTGCACAAAGATTCAGATATCAGGAGCAATAAATTCCACTTGGTAAGAGACAAGCATTTGGAGTAGATAATCTCTAAGTTTCTGTCACTTCCTCTCTATATGTGAAAATATCTTTTGTTAAGGAAGGGAAAGCAGAGGAGGGGGGACTCTGGGCTCCGCCTGGCCATATCCCTCTGCACAGCGGTCCCGCTAACCCCTCACCTCTCCGCCAGCACTTCCAGGGGACTGGCTCCCAGAGACCAACTTCGCACCATCCAGGCAGAATCCATGGCGGCCAGAAAGCCCCGGGCGATGCCGGTGCCCATCGGCCAAAACGGCTGTCACAGAAGAGAAAACAGAGCGAAGGTAAACCGCCTTTCACAGGACAGAAGCCGAACAAGGGCTCTGAGACGGAGTCTGCGGTGGAGCAGCCTCTGACGGCCTGGCGGAGGGCCCGGCAGGAGCGCGGCAGCCTCTCCGTCCTCCTCGGCCCCGGGGCCGTCTGCAGGGCTTCCTGACACTCACTCCTCCCGGGGGCCCTGACAGTGTCTGTTCCTGTCCCGGAACCCGGATGCTCACTGCTCCTGGGACCCCGGTCGGTGTCCGCCACTGCCCCGGCCTGCCCCCTGCCCACTCACCTCGAGGAGGCTGTCCCCAACCAGGGCCACGAGGAGCTGGTGCCCGTGCAGCTCCCGCACCAGGGCGGCATTCTCAGAGGCGTACATGCAGGTGAAGTCGAACATGGCCACGTCAGGCTGCCCGTAGTGGTTGATGGCGAAGTCCAGGGACGGCAGCTGCTGCTGGGTGGAGAAGTCGGCGGCCTCCCGGGCGTAGCTCAGCAGGGCCTCCTGGTCCACGTTGTCCCGGGACAGCAGCAGCTCCGTGTCGGCGTAGTCCTAGCGCCCGAGAGGGAGGAGGCTCTCTGGAGACGCTGGGTACGGTCCACCTGGCTTGAGCCACGGTGCACACACCACAGACAAGCAAGTATCTCCCCGCCTTTCCCCCACAGCGATGCATGTTCCCACGTTTTTCCACAAAATACAAAGAAGGGTGGCAGGCATTTCTAAAAGGAAATGGCATGCATTTCAGCAGGCCTTGCTGCTGAAAACACAGTCCTGGCTTTTCCATCTACTTGGAGCACATCGCTGCTTCCTTGACCCTGCCCCGTCTACCCCATGGGGTCAGCTGAGCACCAGACGAAGTGATCTGCGTGATGGCGCCTGGCTAGCTGCTTGTCATCATCGCCAGTCACCACCTTCTGGGTAGCAAACAGCTTTGGGCAACTGGGACCATGCGTGACGCTCAGCCCAACTCAATAAACCCAAAGGCAGAACCTGAAGCTCCTACCAAAAAGCACGGAGGTGGGAGTGACAGCTGCCCAGGGGCCGGGGAAGGAAGACGTTCAAGATGAAACAGGAGCTTAAAACATACGCCCATTCTGAAGGGCTCCCCAGAACCCCACCGACACAGAAGAACAATGATGAGCGAAAGGGCGTTCTGCACAAAGGCCCAAGAAGCTCCTTTCCCACCGAGGGGACCGCACGCCGAGCCGGGCTGTGCTCCTGGGGTGTGGCCTCTGGCTCCCAAGGGCTTTGACGGCACTTTGAGCTACCAGCACGAGATGCTAAAAGGCAAACACACACCCTCAAGCTGCCTTTGAAAGAGAGTGCTCCCACTGAGTGAACGGTCTCAGTGGATCTTTTGGCCACACTCGTGGCCCCTGCTCTCTACATACACAGAGGAAAGGAGAGGACGTCAGGCCCGGGCACTGCAGATGGTCGGCCGCTCCACAGCGGCAGCACCGGGCTCACCGCTATGTCTCAGAGGCACCGGACCCACCTGGCCACACTCTTGGTAGGGCTGTGGGCTTGCACCTGCTTGGTCTGTCTGCCCTCCCAGTATGGGACTGCGGGCACCAGGTGGCACCAGGTGATGGCGGAAGACGCTGGAATCGCCCCATAGACAGGGGACCCCTGGGAGCAACTCCTGAGTCCGGGTGGGACTGCTCAAGCCCGAACCCAGGGCCCCATCTCCAGCTCACCATGCGGGGACAGCAGTGCACACACTGAGACCCAACCGCACTCAAGGAACCAGCTCCCAGGGGGTTTCTGACTTCACATACAGACCATCCCGAATGCTGGGGTCCGATCACCCCCAACCTAGCCGGTGTCCCGGGGCCCCAATGGCTGCATCTATAAGAAAACCAGGGCCAGGTTCAGGCTCCTGGGACACCACCCCCTACTTCTTGCTCAAACTCTGTACCCTCCAGCAACCCTTCCAAAAGGTGAACCAACCAACAACTGGTCATATCTGCATTTCTCTAAAACCTCAAATCACATCACCTCAAAGTCAATTGACTATTTACTCCTAAAATGCTGGAGACGTGCATTGGAATAGTCAGTCCAACAGCAAGGATGGGGGTGGGCGGGGCTCTGCTGACACGGCCTTGACCGTGTGCTGGTCACTGCTGAAGCTCTGCAGGGGGGTCGTCAGACGGTCCTCGCCACGTTCGTTTGTATTAGGAAATTTCCCCAGTACAAGGTCACTTTTTAAGTTTAATTAAAAAAAACGAGCACACGTTACCAGACAACAAGCTAGGGGCCGGCTCACTGTCACCTCCTCACAAGAGGCCTCCCCAGACAGTAATGCTCACACTCTCGACCTCTCTCTGGAAGAATCGTCACTTACGTGCAGTATCACCCCTTTGTCCAGCAAGCTCTGCTTCTTGGCTGTCATAACGAAATAGTGTGTGTCGTCCTTATAGTAGACGATGTTCTCCAAGTCAATGCCTGTGAGCAGGAGGCAGAGGTGTGGGGGAAGGGCGGGCGGGCAGGCAGGCAGGGAGGGGGACAGTGACCAAGATACCTCAGCAGAGTCTCACCTCCTGCCTGTTCCAGCCACAAAAGGAGGGTGGACTCAGAGTTTATCCTGCACTGCTCTGTAGTCCTGACACCCCAAGTTATCCCACACGCAATAGTCAACAGTGAGGGAAGGAAGAAGGTTCCCGTCTAATAAGAGGGCTGGGTTAATGACCAGGTGAGGCTGCTTTTACAGTTGTCGAGGCAACTGGGGAATGTGCCAGAATGGGGCGGACACCTGGATGCCTGGAAGCAGAGAGTGAACTACTGACTTTTAATTTCAATCAATCTAAAAAAACAGGTGTCATGGAAAGAAATGATGTTCTAGAAAACAGAACGAGAACTGGAATTTGCTGTACGTTATCGTTGCACCAAAACATCTCTGTTAACGTGTCCCAAAGCAGTCACAAAACAATGTCCTTCCCACCTAACGTGTGGTTTACTGCAAGGCCAACGTGGGAGTCGGGAGCGGGAGGACACACTCGGGGCCCATGAACTAGAGGACTGCCGACCACAGGCCCTTGCATCCCACACCACCTGCAGGGCCGCGGCGGGGAGGGTGGGCCAGGGAGAGCTGGGAGGCAGAACGAGCATGTGAAAACAAAGGACTCGGTCCGGAGGGGCCCCAGCCCCGGGACGCAGAGAAGAACACGAGAAGAACACGAGAGTGCAGGAATGAGGCACCCACACCCACCTGTGGCTTCCCTCAGCTCCTGGAAAAACTTCTGGTTGAATATGAAAGCCACACCACTGATCTCTTCCACTTTGGCCTCCGCCGTTGTGTTTCGGTTGATGAAGTTGGCTGTGATGGCGATGGCCAGTTTGCCACGGAACTCTTTCCGACGAAACCCTGGAGGGAGAGATCCCTTCAGAGATGGCGGCGGCAGCTGGCTTAGGAGGTGGGGACACGAGGGGCACTGCTGATGGCAGCAGAGACCACGGCAGAAAGGAATTCATGGGCACATTGTAGGGTCGCTCCTCTCCACCGGAAAACAAAGGGTTTACTCACCAAAGAATGCAACGACCAGAAAAGAGCACAAAGTCTCCCACACACTTAACAAAAAATTTGAAATCTGACCAAGCAGAATATTACTCAACACCAGGAATGTCATTTAAAAACAAAAGAAGCCACCTTGTTACTAAGCTGAGAGGTCACCCTGCCGTGCTGCCCTGCAGGACGCTGCGGTCCCCACGTGGGCCCTGAGCAGCGTGGGCACTGGTGACACAGCTCTCAGCCCAGGCTGCAGAGAAAGTCGCCTTCCCTCTGCTACCCACCAGGCTGCGCGGCACCGACCAGTACCTTCCAAGGTGTTCCTGCGGCCGTCCCCTCCGATGATCACTTCAAACTCATACTCTGACACGGGGTGGGTTTTCGGGTGCACCAGGGCCCGCCAGCCTATCCCTGTGGACCAAAGTCAGAGTGAAGGTCAGCGCCCAGACCAATCCCCACGTCTGAGACACCCCGCGACACCCGGCAGGCAGAGCCCACAGCAAACGCGTGGTCCAGAGGCAGGAGCCTCACGGGAATGTTCCCACGCCCCAGTTTCCTGAGATGAGCATCAGTGCCTGCGTGCGGGAGGCCGCCTCACGGCCTCCCAAAAGTTGCTCGGAAGATACAGGCTGCACAGAGAGCCCCCGGCAGCCAGTTCGGAGAACAGCGAGCGAGCTGCCCTCCTTCTCTGTGCTGATCTCGTCCCGCCTCCCCTCACCTCCAGCCTCTGCCTCCCCTACTCACGCTCATTTTCCTGGTCCGCAGGAGGCTGCACAAGTCCTCGGAACTCCACATTGACATGGATTTCAATGCCCAGGATCAACGCGACTTTTAGAAGGATGAGCTGCAGCTGGCGGATACCTAAGGAGACAAAGGACAACACTCGTCAGGGCCGTCAGGGCCGCTGTGGGGGGATGTGACTGCTGGTGGCCCTGCTCAGGCCCCACCTTCCCCCCAACGGGGGGCTGATGCAGGTTCTCCAAGGTTCTGGGACAGGAGCGTGTTCTGAGCCATGTCCCACAGGCTCTCTCTTTATTAAGGGATGGAAACCTGCTGGGAAGACACACAAGCCCACTCTCACCTCTTGGGTAAGATATTTGACTTGAGACTGTGGCCAACAGGAGACTCTCCTTTCTACCTTCCCCAGTTCAGTCAGAGCCTCAGTGACTCAGCAGGAGCTGCAACCCCTGGCTGTGACCAAAGGCGGCAGATGCCGTGCACCCACTGTGAGCTTTCCTTCTGGCCCGACCTGAGGGGCGGCCCAACTTCCCGGGCCTCCGGTGCCCCCTTTACCTCCCCACCTCCCGTCTCCACAGGTGCTACAAGGTGAGAAGGAAAGGCCCGGAGCAAGCTCGATCCTCTCTCACTGTCGCCCCCGCCGCCGAATGGGCTACAGTTGCAGAAACTAACCTTGCTCATTATCCCATGAGATTTATTGATTTAACATCCAGTGAGGACCTGCCAGGTGCCACACACAGCCACCCCAGAGATGGATGAAAATCGGACCCCTGGCACAGGACGCAGCCCGTGGCTAAGCCTGCCGCACGTTGGCTGGCAGACCTGCCGAATGGGTGGCCGGGTCCTCGCCCGCAGCTACTGCCCAGGAGTCCATGCAAACCCTCCTCTAGACCCGCCCCAGTTCACACAACCAACCACTTCTGAGTCCCACAGGCAGACTCTCTCAAGCCCAAGCTGGTGCACGTTTTATATTCACAGACCACTGGGGTCTGAGACGCTCTATGTGTCAGAGCCCGCAAGGGCCAGCGGCACCCTCCACCAGGAAGATGCAGCTGTGGCCATGCTGGTAAACTGGCACGGCCTTCACACCGCGAAGGGTTTGGGACGGGCATCGGTCCCCGACAGGCCTTCTTCCCTGGAACCACCAGTGACAACCAGCACACAAGACCTCAACCTCTTGAGGCAGACACACACTGTCACAGAAACAAAACTGCGTCTGCACTGACTTGCACTTACTTCAAAGCACCCAGAAGGACAGGCCACGCCGAGCATGGAGGGCAAGAGCACGAGAGCCCCAGGGCTGCAGGCCCCACGAGAGTCCAGGAATCCCGCTGCCGACTCATCAACTGGCCACATACCCAACAAGGTGTCTGCGGCTGCGGCTTCCCCAGGACCGTGTGCCCGCTTTGTTCTCACGCCGGCGCAGCCTCCCCCACATTGAGCTCCAAAGAGCCGGTTGAAACCACCAGACTGCGGTGAAGACCCACACTGGTCACCTACTGCCTGGCCCGGCCCCAGTCCTCCAGAGCCCTAGTCCTGCCTCCCAGCAGACGCGCTTCTGCACAGCAGATGCTGATGACACAGAGCAAACCAGGCAGCTGCAGACGTGTTACTCAGGGAACCTGCCTGGGTCTCTTGCCTGGGGGGTGGGGGGACAGACCCGCAGGAGAACCAGCTTCACTTACTGATGTGGTCGATGGACCCAGCACAGAATTTGCCATAGAACTTCTTGGCACCCAAACCTCGCAGATCATGGATGGTGAAGGGCCAGAGGTGCAGGACGTTGTTTCTGGAAAAAGCATCTCGCTTCTCAATCACGACCACCTTTGCTCCCAGCAAGGACAAGTCGATGGCCGTGCGGAGACCACAGGGGCCAGCTCCAATGATGAGACACTGAAAAACAGGGCTGCTTCAGGCAAGGGTGACACCCCCTGAGAACAAGGCTCGTGACCTCGCGACCACCGTTCCTGAAAGCCCACCCCCACAGGGCTCTTCACTCCACCTCCCGTCCCACTGCACCCTCGGGGCGCCCGCAACAGCCACACACTGGAGGCTGCTGAGAGGAGGGAAGGCTCTCGGCCGTCAGGACTGGACACTAATTCAGCACATGTTCGCCCTGCAGACTGGCCACGTGTTCGGGGGGGGGTCGTCGTTTCAAAGAGTGCTTTGAAAACCACATCCCATCTCCCATCCGTTGGGAAGGTCTCTTGGTGAGGCAGGTCTCTGTCCAAGGAGACAGGTGATTGAACATCACACACAGAGTCCCGATGGCTTTCTACTCCAGGGATTCCCAGGAGGCAACTGCCAGAGGCCCAAGTTTTTTGTACTGACAATAGTCATAAAAACCTGCCTTTAGACTAAAGTCCAAGAAAATGAACTTGAAAATCTGAATTTCAGAGCAGTACTCAGGGTGAGACTGGACACTTAACTAGTTCACACTGCATGTGCGGAAGAAAAAAAAAGGCATGCATTGTTTTTGGCTTTCAACTCCTTTTATCCCTAATAAAACTCCGCAACTCCCTCCTACAAGTCATGCTCCTGAACTTCCTGAATTGTGCTGACGAATATCAAACCAACAACCAAACAAAAACCCACTGGGGTGGGTGTCAGGGTCCCCACAGGGGCAAATTAAAACTAGGAAAGAGCGCTGAGGACACTGTCGTGAAGTCATTTGCAACGTTCTTTCCCTGCCAGCCCTGGGGCCCCAGACGGGGTGGGGCAGCAGGAAGCCACTCTTCCTTCTCCACCTGCTCCCGGACCTCATTCAGGTGCCGAAACCACAGTCCTGCCCAGGCCCACCTTCTCCTGAGAACACTGCTTCTGTACACTAAGAAGAAACCAAAAGAAATCACTGTTCACAAGGCCCCTGCTTAGGAAAACAGACCTTTGGAATAAGGATGAAAAGCGGCCTAAGGCACCAGGTGGCAGATGCTATGTGTCCCTCGCCGGTTACTAAGATACCAGTGTCCCTCCCTGGTTACTGAGCACAGGACCGTGACTTGGGGAGGGCAGCATGCCCTGTGCCACACGGCCGTGCTTGTGCAGGATGCTGGCAAGGCCTTGGCTGCTACTTTGCTCACTGACCTGCACCCCTCCTAACAGTGTGAGATTCAAAGCAGAGGCTCAGCAAAATGAGCAAGTTGCTGCATTACTTAAATCGTTCTTAAACAGTTAAAACCCTGAATGTTCAATATGCGACACATGAAACATGAATAAAGTCTAGCACCCAGAACAGACAAATGGACGTTTGCCACAGGTAGCAGCCTGACCTCCCACTCCAGACCTCGGTTCAACTCGGCCCCTTCCCGCCCTGCAGCCTCTGCTGGTCCTTCCCGTGCTGGCCGCCCTCCTCAGGCTGGTGGCCCGGGCCCAGCCCCACCGCACCTTGGTGTTGCTGCAGGCCCTGCCCTTCCTGTAGTCCTTGTGGCTGCCCCGCTTGTCCAGCTTCGCCCACAGGGCTTTGGCTTTCCAGTAGTGGAGCTTGGACTTGAGCCTGTGGTAGAAGGAGCGGTAGTCCTGGGGCTTCACCTCCAGGTGCTCACAGAGCTCCTGGAAGGCCTTCAGGGTCCCCTTGCAGGTGGCGGCCTGCACGAAGCGGTCAAAGAGGGCATGTGCCCGGTTCGCCGCCTCGTCCTTGCTCTCCTCCATGCTCCCCACGCTCAGGCCCCGGAGAGGGGGCGGGGGACGGTGCCAGTCCACCGGGTGCCGTCAGAGTAACCTGACAAGATCAAAGGAGGAGGAACAGTCAGCAAGCCCAAATCTGTGTCTACGAACACGTTCTGGGGACGAGCTTTTCCACGTGGAATTCCGCCTTGTCCAAGTCCTTCGCTGGGCAGAGCCGGGCCGCACCCTCTGGCACGGCCTGCATAGAGGTGTGGGGAGGGCAGTGAGAGAGGCACGGGGTCTGGGGACACCCAGTCACAGGGAGGGGGGCCCGCCAGAGGTGGAGTCTTTCAAGCAGGGAAAACACAGGGACATGGCAGAGGAAGTAAAACAGGAGGGTCAGGGTCAAGGACTACCCCCAGGTTTCCAGGCCACCGAGGACATGGTGGCCCCAGGCCGGGGGGCTGGAACCATAAGGACTCATGGGTGAGGGTAGGAGGGGAGGTCCCTTTAGGACGTCACATCGGCGCTGCACTTGGGGGACGGCTCACTGGGCAGGCAGCTGTGACAGAAGCCTGGGGACCCAGCCCTGGATTTGGGCATCCTTCACACACAGGTGGTTGCTGAGCTTAGGATACCTGGTGAGACCACACAAGGAGAGCCCTGGCAACAGTGCAGCCACGACTCTGGACCAGACCTGGGCCTCCCAGACTGAGGGGCCTGGCAGAGAAAGACTAAGCCCCTGCAGAGATTCGAGGCTCTGTGAAGACAGGTTGGTGGAGGACCAAAGGGCAGCATCGTGGTGTCTACAAAGCACGAACCAGCGGTGTCCAAGTCGGCGGGAAAGGCCCAGGAAAGCCCATTCTGCCCACCAGTGCTCAGCAGGTGGGAGGACCGACGGCCATTCCCCGGGCCACAGACCCAGCTGGCCAGTGTGAGGGCGCCCACACCTTCCACTCTCCAAACAGCCTCACACCTGCCTCTGGGCTGCAGAGGGGGAGGCACCGGAGGCTCTCCCTTACTCACCACTCCCTCCCTGCCTTGCGTGTTTCCATCACTCTTCTACCGGGTGTCCTTCATCCCGCTCTGTGGGACTACTGCTGGTGGGAGGAGGCAAAGGCCAAAGAGCAACGTGGAGCCAGAGGAAGCACAGAAAGGGGGCAGGGCAGCGAGACTCCAGGCCCCATGCGCCAGGTACGGGCTGCAGGCCCGACATGGTCACACGGTCACACGGCCGCCCGAGGCCTCGCTCTCTGCGGTCACTGTCCTCACTCCCAGCACCGCGGTCATGACAACGGGCCCTCACAGGAGCACCACAACGCGCCACTCGAGGGGCAGATGGGACCTGAGGGGGCTCTGCGTGGAGGAGGCTTCTCTGCTGGCGGTGCGGCAGGTGCAGGGAGCCAGCTGCTGATCTGCTGTAGGAATAACCAGTAACCTCCTATTTACTGAACCAGCCCGAGGGCCCTCGGAGCCACCAGCCGTCGGTGCTGATGAAGTCAGTTCTCAGGAGGTGGCGCGGAGACTGTGTTCTCCCTTGCGGCTTGTCCCTGGGGGCCGCCCTTCACGACACAGAAACAACCCTGCTCCTCTCCACCCCTCCCCACGACAACAAAGGTGAACCACTCAACCAGGGGCGTGGCTTAAGTTTCATGCGCAAAAGTAAGTCTTCAGTGGATACCAGGAACCGCCACCTGCCACTTTCCACAGACACCTGCTTCACACACTGGGGCCAAGCCGACTGGGGTCTTTACCGGAGACACGCCAGCCTGGCTTCTCCTCCCAAACATGTCGCTCCCCCAACAGCCCCCACCCCCGGCTCTGGATGTAAAAACCCCACCACTGAGAGACAGCGAGTCCCCACAGCCGCGTGGCCCAGAGTCCAGAAGGAAGTGGGATTAACTGGAACTCATCCTCAGTTCCCTGAATCGAAATTTCTTCTAGGTGGAAGTAAGCAGCAAGAGAAGTATTTTAAAGTTTGCTTGTATTTTTTCTTACAAGCCAAGGCTTATCTAGAAATGACAATCAATCAGAAGATGGCTATCAGGGAGGAAAAACAACTGTGCAGAAAGGTGGCAGGTTAGAAGCAGGGACCGGATAGGAGGGGATGGAGCGCTCGTTTCCCGGGGGCCTCGGTGGCAGTTTCCTCGGCTTCACTGGCTGCTCAGACCAGCAGCTGGCAGGCTGCCCACCTGACCTCACGCACTCACAGGGGCTCACTGTCGGCTTTGACCCACCAGTCAAGTGTTGGCAAAGCTTCAACATACCCGGGCTAATCTCTCCGCCTCATGTCGAGGGAGAAAATGGTTTTTCTTTGTTGCTGCACAGCAGCCCCCCCACCCCACCCCACCTGCCAGGACTGGGGCTCTCAGTGCAAATACGACTTCCCTGCTCAAACCAACACATTGGCGATCCCGCCACACGTACTTCCTGAAGCCGCTCCCCTGCTGTGACACTGGCCTCACGCTCACCCTTCCCTAAGGGCTCTCGGGCACCTGCTTTCAGAGACAAGGCCTACTCTGTGGGCTGACCAGGAGCGGCTGACCACACAGGGAACCAGGGCAAACCACAGTCCAGAAAAACCTCCACTCGAAGCAGCCGGACCCTTCTGTTGATGCGAAACACTTGCCCACTCAAGGTGTCAGCCGCAAGGCCTCTTCCAGGGGGCAGGCCGGCAGGAAGAGCCCAGTCAGGGACTCTGACCTGCAGGTCAGTGATGACACCAGATAAGTGGAGGTGAGCCGGTTCTTGTAACAATGGGACAGGCACCTCAGGAGAGAGGACACGAGAGCAATTCCCTGGGGCGGCCTCACTGTCCTGCTTTGCAAACCAAATGAGGTGGCAGAGGGGACTGGATTGTCCGCAGCTCTGCAGCCTTGCAGCCTCCTGCACTGCGGGAGTCACCAGGCACCGAGTCCCTCAAGGGCAGTGGCAGGGCCGGTCCTCAAGGTCAGACCCAGACCCTGTTCCTCCTGGGCCAGCGCTGGGTGCCGCCACATCCCAGTCTCCTGGGAAATCAGCAGCATCATCATGGGAACCTAGAGACCAGGAAACCTGGCGGGAAGGTGTCAGACACCGGGGCAGAAACACCAAGGTGTAGATGGAAGGGACGGGGTGAGGAGCCTGAGGGGGGCAGGGAGGGAAGAGGAAGAGGCCGTAGGATTGCCCTGCCCTCCTGTCCCAGAGGGCTGACACCGCCTCAGAGGCCCTGCAGGCCCAGGCGTGGACTGTGAGGGGCCTGCAGGGGGCGAGTTCGTGTCTGTACTGATGAGAGTGCATGGGCGGCTGCCGTGGACTCTGCGCTGATTACGACAGTAGTCAGCCTGCAGCTCTCAGAATAGGCAGGTGGTAACTGGAGGGATGGGAGAGTTATCTTTAAAAATGGAAAAGGAAAAGAGAAACAGAACAACACAGTAAGAGCTAAACTTCAAGAGCATGAAAGCAGAGTCCAGTTTGGTCCCAGTTCCCCGACCCTGCTCTGTCCGAGGACGGGGTGGCACCTGCCTCTGAGTCCTGGACACCCATCGTGAGCCGCTTCCGTCCTGGCCCTGCACACAGAGGCCCGGCCAGTCCACACACATCTGGGGGGGGGGGTGCGTGGAGGAAGCCTGATTTGGAACCTGGATGGGAAATGCCTTTGGATGATAGAGCTGCCTGTGTGTTTTGCCTCAGAAATGAGTCTGTGCCAGGTCACCTGCAGATGAGACCCGCGGCCTCAGGGCAGGGGCAGCGAGCTGACAGCTCAGATGGTTGGGAAGGAGACCCCTCAGCGGCTTCTCTCGCTGGTCCCTCAGATCAGCCTCCCTGGGCACTGAGAAGCTCAGACACGGCAGGCAGGAAAGCAGTTGTCCTCCCGTGTTGTCGTCTCTCAGCTCTTTCCTGACCTGCCCTCCCATTCGGCGTCACATCGGCACGTAGCAGGTCACCCCCCCCCCACCCTCGCACCTGCGGCCCCTCCGCACACACCTGCACCTGAGTGGGCACAGCACTGAGCGCTGCCAGCGGCCCAGGTCTCTGGAGCTGTGGCCTGACCCCGAGTGGAAACGTGAGCCCCTTGTGGGGTCCATACAGGGACCCAGCAGCCCTGCTGGCAGGACTGGGAGAGTCTCCTGTGGCTGGGAGAGTCGAAGAGAACGGGAGGCAGGACACGCCCACGTGCTACCCGAGAGGTGGCACTCGGTGCGCAGCAGCCTGGGCAGCGAGGGAGGGGGTCCCTACGAGAGAGAGAACAGCAAGAACGTGGCCCTCTCATTGCGGATTCTCACACCGCTGAATGCACCCCGGGCCGTGGAAGGGCCCTCTAGAGGGGTCGGACAGGGGCCTGGGCCGGCTCGGCCTGGCCCGGAGGCCTTCTAACTCTCCAATCCTGGAAGACCCCCACAGGGCCCTGGGGGACATCCTCTGTCCCTTTCTGTTTTACTCTCTTTGCTAACAACCTACACCTTCAGGAGAAGCCACTCTCACACAGAGAAACAAAGTGCATCAGAAATGAAGTGACCTCTGCCCTGTGGTCATCACCCAAATGCTCCATCAGAGCCCGGCAAACACCCAGCGAAGGTGATGGTGGGTGGCAAGCCTGGCCCGGGGGAGACAGCAGGAGTCAGGGGGAGCAGCGGGGCCCGGGGTGGCCTGCAGGGTGAGTCACAGGGGCTGAGTGAGCTCATGAACATGGCCTGGAAGGCGGCACCAGGCACACGGCAGACCCGGCCAATGGCTGCATTGTGACGACCGTCATTGTGACGACTGTCAGGGAGCCTGTCATACCAGCAACAAAAGGTGCCCTCAGGCTACAGAAACGGCCACTCGCATCCAGGAGGAGAGTGAGCAGACGGCTGTTTCTGAAATAAAGAAAAACAGTCCCGCTGCTCCCATCACCCTCCTCCCACCCCCTCTGTCTGCCAAACCAAGACGCTGGGACAGGCGAGGCAGAAGCACTTCCACCAGTAACACCAAAAACAGCCGTAAGGCCACCACGTCACCACTGTTTGTGGGGTGCCTGCCACTCAGACGGGAGAAAGCCGCACGGCCGGAAGCAGCGCCCCGTCTGCTGCCACTGGGGACACGGCCCCTCAGCAGGCCCCCCGCCCCTCAGCGCCGAGAGCAGAGCCCACGGGG